CCAGAGCCTGCATCCCTCACCCCCTCCTTCACACCACCCCCCTGCCCCAGCCCGGAGCCTGCACCCAGCACCCAAACTCTATCCCAGAGCCTGCATCCCTCACCCCCTCCTTCACACCACCCCCCTGCCCCAGCCCGGAGCCTGCACCCAGCACCCAAACTCTATCCCAGAGCCTGCACCCTGCACCCCCCCCTGCACCCTAATCCCCCAGCCCAGGACCTGCACCCCCAGACCTCCGCCCCCCACCCAACCCCCCTCCCAGAGCCTTAGGCAGGTGGCGGGGGGTGGGTTCTGGGCACCACCAAAATTTCTACAACCCTGCCACCTATGCGAGTGGATAAGGGTCGGGGCAGTCAGGGGACAGGTAGGGTCCTAGGGGTGGGGGGTTCTCAGCAGGGGGCAGTCAGGGGACAAGAAGCAGGGGGGGTTGTGGTTCTGAGGGGGGCAGTCAGGGGGTGGGAAGTGGGAGAGAGTGGATGAGGGCAGGCCTTCCCCCCCCTCCCCGTGTCCTCTTTTTTGATTGTGAAAATATGGTAACCCTAGAGATGAAACAATTAAAGTCTTTGTAAAACAGGCACCCAAAATAGCTTTAATCAGCATGCAGAAGAAGGGGTTTCCAAACAGGGAGTCTTGCCATTGAATTTGAATCAGTTTGAATTTCACAATTTATGATGATCAAAACATCCTCCAGGGGGATCTGTTGGCCTTCGCTAATGGTGGCCAGGCAGCTGCAGCTTGGTACCAAAGGCTCTGGACTGGCCAACTCTGCCTGCCCTGAATTATTGTCTTGTCTGGTTGGACTGGCACTGAACTGTAAGAGGGCTACATAATCAATAGAGGATTTACACTAACTCAAGGTGGCACTGCAACCCTAGAGGCTCATGAATAATAGATTAATGGATGGCATCTTTGTTAGTAGTCATGCCTTTTGCCTATGGAGCCTCCTAGCAGGCAGCAAAAAGGGGACGGCGCAGGCATAGAGACACAGCACTGGAGCCATTCAAAATACACCTGCCCTGACTTTTGTGCTTATTGGGGACTTCTCCCCTGACCCTTCCTGCAGGCTCAGCTGCAGGCCTGCTGGTTGTAGCTCAGGGGGGTTAGGAAGCTCTGCACCTGAGAACAGAGACCTCACTGCCAGGGGTGGGGTAAGCAGAAGATGGAACTTTTAGCTGTTGGGTAGAGGCCAAGAGATAGGAGGGCTGTGCTGGGGCTCAGGAGGGATTGGTGAAGGGGCAGTGCCTAATCCTCATCACACTTCTTTCTAGCCATAGGAGCACCCCCTCACCCTTGCAGACATGCAATTTACTCAGCCTTACCTACCCCTCTGCAGAAGAGTAATATTATCCCCTCTGTGTTACAGCTGAGGAAAACCGGGGGGCAGAGACTTGCCCAAGGTTCTTAGGACTTAGCCTCAGAATGGGGTGGTGGAGGCTGCAATGGTGGGATGCCTTTGACACTGTAGTAGCAATATTCTGGTAGCACCCAGAGGCCCCAGCCAAAATCAGGGCCCCATGGTGCTAGGCACTGTACAGACATCTAGTGAGAGACAGTCCCTGCCCCAAAGAGCTCATGCTATAAACAGGCCCGACAGAGATGGGAGGTAAAGGAGCATAATGGAGGCTGAATCCCAGTCAGCACAGAAGACTCATGCATCACCAGCTGCACCTTGGGGAAAGAGGAAAGGTTCTGGCAACCACAAGGGGGCGTATGCTTGTTTACACACTCTGGGTCTGGCTTTTCTCCAGCATTTTTGCAGGCCCAGGCCTGACCCTGAAGGCTGAGACTCCATAGCAGCCAGGGGAAGAGGCAGGGGAAACAAACCTATAGGCAGCAGATTTTCCCAAGCCAGTGAGAGCACCCCAGGGATCTAGAGCAGGCTGGCAATGCAGTTAGGATGACCAGACAGCAAATTTGAAAAACTGGGACAGGGGAGGGGGCGGGGGGTAATAGGAACCTATGTAAGAAAAAGACCCAAAAATCAGAGCTGTCCCTATAAAATCAGGACATTTGGTCACCCTAAATGCAGTTGCCTCCCTCCTGCATCTGTAGCTATGGAGCTGGGTTGTATTTTCCCCACACGCCTCCAGTATGTTTCTTAGGGACGTGCAACAGCACATCTCACCAACCCAGACTTAGAGTACAGCCACATGATCTATGAACTAGCTTCTGTCACAGACATTTCGGTGCTCGCCCCCATTCAGACATCAGCTGGTGACTGATGGGCCGGAAG